ATAGCATTAGGGCCATATTATTAGTTCTATTGAATGGGAACACATATGAGCTGGGTCTTACTCTCTGTCAAAGGGTTCAGATATTTCAGTCCTGGTGGGGATGTTAAGGGATGAGTACTTGCAGGGGAGGACAATCTGAGTTTTTTTTTTTTTAAACCTTGGGGGTATTTTGGCAATTTGTTAGGACTTTCAGCATTTGTACATATGTTGAGGTGTACCAATTAAGCTCATTCATATACTGTTGCATTGGTTCCGATGTTATACTGATTATCTGTTGATGCATTTATCTAATTATTCTTTATCAATAAAAAATCGGGAGTCAGATATCGGGGTAAGAACCTGAATGATCAAAGAAGCAGTGGAGAAGTGATCAGTGACTTCTTATCTCTTCTGTTCCTCCACCCAAAAGGCCTGGGATCCTCTCTAAGCCCGGCCTTACTACTTCCTAGCTGTCTGTCTTCAGTCCTCCAAAACCTCTATGGATAATTTTGGTCAGCAAGGGACTAGCTCCATCCAGTTGATTCAAAGCAAACTTTATTGTCAGAATGCCATCAGAATATCACACAGCAATCTGTGACAGAAGGAACTGCTTTTATAGTATGGCTCTTGGTCAGGGCCCTCAGTGTGGTCTGGACTAGCATACCAATCCATGTGGGAACTTGTGAAGAATACAAGTTGTCATGCTGGCCTCCTTTCACCCGTGCTGATTGTACAGAAACTCTGATGAGGGTCAGGAGAGAGACTTGTCATCCAGCAGTCTGCATCTATACGTTGCTTTTCTATGAAATCCTCACGCTCAGATTTGAGCATGATGGCTTAATCAAATGGCCTTTACAGTCACATTCTGGTTACAGAATCATGGAGATTACAGCTTTAGGAGGGTGCTCTTGTAATCTGGTATTCTATGCCAGGATTTCCTAGAATCTTGGATTTTAAACACTCAGATATGTTTGGTTGGGTCCTAGTGAGGACTAGGCCTGTGGCCCCTGGCACAGGGCTTTGTATCCCACTGCCTGTCTCCACTGCTTCTTATGCTGTCTGGGCACAGTTACTTCATGGTTCATTGGTTTAGTGGTATAGAGTTTTGAGTGTCTGAATGCTGCAAGCAATAGGGAGCACGTTAAGTTCATAAAAATTATTTACAAATTTACCTAACATTTAAGTCCCTGGGAAAGGGAATTTATAGTATTTTCTACTAAATGGGCAAAGATAAATCGAGTGAACTGCAGAGCATTTGTGAGTTAGGGTGAGAGGCTTGGCAGTCAGGGGTGGACTGACAAGGAAGAAGCTGAATGAGATGGGAAGTCAACAGGGACAGAGCCCAGGGGATCCTGCATTTGCAGGAAGATGTACACACCATCAGTTCAGAACCCCAGCTACATGCTATGTGAAGTCCTCACACTTCTTTGGTAACAAATATTCATTTTTTTTTTGTTGGAGACTTTGCTTTTATTTATAAAATGTATGTCCTGTTTTAATTTTGTCTTTTAATAGTGGTTAGTACATAAAGTATAGGCAAGACAAACAGAGAAAATAAAGTCGGAAAATAACTCAGAGAGGCCTTTTTGTTTTAAGAGATGCCTTCACCTAAGCAGCACACATTTTAATAGCTCCTGTTAGGACACTCATGGCAGCTAATTTTGGTACAGAAAATGCAAACAGAAAATGCAAACAGCATTATCTTTAAATCCATGGGGAGAAAAATTAGAATCTTCCTATATACTCCTAGGCACAGAATAATACGTAGAGATTTCTGAAAGCACTGAATGTCGCTGAGCCACTTACACAGAACACACTCAAATAGTTACCCTACCAAGGCATGGCCAGAGATAGGAAGAAATCTTATCTTCAAATTTTTACTTGAGAACAAAAAATACCAAAACATTTGATAATCATTCACACCAATATGAAATGATGTACATCGATGTGTAATAACATAAAATGATGTGCTGCATAAGTTTCCAGATAAAAAGACGATCATGAAAAGCAGACCTCTGCAAAGCCTGTGGGTTCTCCCTTGTATACTGAAGGATTTCTTGCTCAGGGCGTGACTGCCCCCATGTGGAACAGGTGTGCATCACAGTAAGAGGCAGAAATCTTCACCAGAAACAAGGATGAGAATTACCTCAGCATTCCCTGACTTGATTCTAGATCCATTAGCTGGATGCTCATTTTTTGGTACAAGTAATTACACAGATCCTGACAAATCAATTAGAAAATGCTAACTATGGAAACATCCACTATCATTACTACTTAAATGCTGTTCCACAGACCAATGGTGTGTTTTAGTCGGAGCTTGCCAGACATGCTAGTGTATCAGCCCCCTGCGAGTCTGCACTGACTCAGAATCAGTATTTTAATAAGGCTCCTGGGTTATTTGCATGCATCTAGATCTACCTCCTGTCTGCATTCCACTCCACCCACCTACCACATGGCTGTCTAGGTGCCTTTCACTAGGAACCCTACCTCGTTCAATGTCTGTGGTCTCAATTACCTATAAGCATATCTTTGGAAATGTGACAATTTATTTTATAGGTTTATTTTCTTCAACTAATGTGTTAACTCCACAACTCAGAAAAATATTAAAACAAATTCTCAGAAAAAGGGGCCTTTTTGTTTCAGGAGGGATTGGAATATTTTATTTTGCCCAATTACAGAAGCCCTTCAGCAGACATTCATATACATATATATGAACATTTCCCAGAAACATTGAGTTGTAATACATTCTTAAAATACCAGCTTAATGGTATTTATTTACAAAAAAATATTTCATTACTTAATTTTGAACTTTTCTGCTGTGATGACAGTTTTTTTTTTCTGTCTGTTAAGTTACAGGAATGCAAAATAACTACAAAGTTTGAAGAAGACATTTTTAGTGTTTGCAATAGTGCTATTTAAAAAAATGAAACAGCCGGGCGGTGGTGGCGCACGCCTTTAATCCCAGCACTCGGGAGGCAGAGCCAGGTGGATCTCTGTGAGTTCGAGGCCAGCCTGGGCTACCAAGTGAG